CACTTTTTTTTTGGGGGGGGGGGGAAGAAAAAAGTTTTAGTGTCTGTGTAGAAACTGCCGTTATACCGGGAGGGGGAAAGTTTTAGGGGTTTCACCGTGCTCTGAAGTGAATGAAAGTTTGTGTTTTCCCTTGGGGAAGGTTTTAATGGAAAGTAACATTGTGTTTTTTTTTAAAAAAAAAAAAGTTAAGCAATGTGCAGTCTTACTGAATGCAGAAAAAGCTCAAACAGCAAGGGAACCTGATTAACCTTACTGTAAGCAAGTGAAGACTTTTACTTGTATTTCAAACTAGGTTTGCTCTTTCTTTCCTCTCTTTCCTTTCTCTTTCCTTTCTTTCTTTTCTCTCTCTTTCTTTTCTTCCTTTCTCTTTCCTTTCTTTCTTTTCTCTCTCTTTCCTTTCTTTTCTCTCTCTTTCCTTTCTTTTCTCTCTCTTTCCTTTCTTTTCTCTCTCTTTCCTTTCTTTTCTCTCTCTTTCCTTTCCTTTCTTTTCTTTCTCTTTCTTTTTCTTTCCTTCCCTTCTTTCCTTCCCTTCTTTCCTTCCCTTCTTTCCTTCCCTTCTTTCCTTCCCTTCTTTCCTTTCTTTTTTTAATCTTGATTTAAAGTTAAAATTTGTGTCGGAAAGAGAAAAACAGAACTAAGCAGTAGCAACAGACAATCTGTGGTATCCTTGCTAGGCTTTACCTCCAAAGGGCACGCTCTTCTTGCCTGGTTTAGAGACTTTGTTTTTAGTGAGCATTTACCAAAAACCAGCATCTGCGACAGATTTGTGATGTAAACGTCGAGTGAGCCAAACATAGGAGCATTAGAAGCTGGTGGCATCTTTTCACATACAGTCCAAAACTCATTCAAACTGAGCAGCAAGTTCCTTGGGATAAGCACACCTCCCTGTGGAAGTAATTTTCTTTCCTCTCTTTCCTTTCTCTTTCCTTTCTTTCTTTTCTCTCTCTTTCTTTTCTTCCTTTCTCTTTCCTTTCTTTCTTTTCTCTCTCTTTCTTTTCTCGCCGATAACTTCCCCCCGCCCCGGCCGGGCGATGCCCCTCACCGCCCATTAACCGGCCCTCGGAGCAGCACCTGCGGGGGGGCTACTCGCCACCACCCGGCTCTCGCCACCCCTCCAGGGCAGGGCAAGGCGGAGGGGCCGCGCACCCCCCAGCCCTCCCAAATCGGGCGGGCACCTCCCCGCCCCATCCCGTCCCATCCCATCGCCCGGGAGCGGCGGGGGTTTGCGGGTCTCCTGGTTTTCTTCTCCCTCTTCCCCTCTCCTCGCTCCCCGCGCCCTTTCCTCGCCCACTGGCCACCAGCGACACCTCCGATCGCCCGGCTCCTCCCGACCCGACACCGCCTCCGCCCCGGCTTTGTGTGTGCGTACGCGGCAGCCGCCACCTGGGGCCGGTGGCGGTGTGACCCCGCAAACCATGCGGCTCCCCGGGGGTCCCGCCGCCGCCCTCCTGCCCCTTTGTCTGCTCTGCCTCCAGGCTGCGCTGCCGCTCCGCGCCCACCGCGGAGGATACGCCGGGTAAGTCCCGTCTGCCCCCCCCCCCCCCCACCTTCAACCCCGCCGCTCCCGCACCGCACCTCCCCGCAGCCGCGGAACCTCCGCTAACCTTCTCCACCGCCCGGCTCCGGCCCGTCGGGGCTTCTCATCCCGCCGCCCAGGCGGTTTGTTTGCTCCTTTCCAGCCGGTTTGTAGCGCGTTTCTCGCGGGAGATGCTGTAAATTTCTGCCAGCAAAGGATGCTACGTTTTTTTTTGGGGGGGGGGGGAAGAAAAAAGTTTTAGTGTCTGTGTAGAAACTGCCGTTATACCGGGAGGGGGAAAGTTTTAGGGGTTTCACCGTGCTCTGAAGTGAATGAAAGTTTGTGTTTTCCCTTGGGGAAGGTTTTAATGGAAAGTAACATTGTGGGTTTAAAAAAAAAAAAAAAGTTAAGCAATGTGCAGTCTTACTGAATGCAGAAAAAGCTCAAACAGCAAGGGAACCTGATTAACCTTACTGTAAGCAAGTGAAGACTTTTACTTGTATTTCAAACTAGGTTTGCTCTTTCTTTCCTCTCTTTCCTTTCTCTTTCCTTTCTTTCTTTTCTCTCTCTTTCTTTTCTTCCTTTCTCTTTCCTTTCTTTCTTTTCTCTCTCTTTCCTTTCTTTTCTCTCTCTTTCCTTTCTTTTCTCTCTCTTTCCTTTCTTTTCTCTCTCTTTCCTTTCTTTTCTCTCTCTTTCCTTTCCTTTCTTTTCTTTCTCTTTCTTTTTCTTTCCTTCCCTTCTTTCCTTCCCTTCTTTCCTTCCCTTCTTTCCTTCCCTTCTTTCCTTCCCTTCTTTCCTTTCTTTTTTTAATCTTGATTTAAAGTTAAAATTTGTGTCGGAAAGAGAAAAACAGAACTAAGCAGTAGCAACAGACAATCTGTGGTATCCTTGCTAGGCTTTACCTCCAAAGGGCACGCTCTTCTTGCCTGGTTTAGAGACTTTGTTTTTAGTGAGCATTTACCAAAAACCAGCATCTGCGACAGATTTGTGATGTAAACGTCGAGTGAGCCAAACATAGGAGCATTAGAAGCTGGTGGCATCTTTTCACATACAGTCCAAAACTCATTCAAACTGAGCAGCAAGTTCCTTGGGATAAGCACACCTCCCTGTGGAAGTAAGAGCTCTATTATTCTTTTTATTCTATTAAAGTAGCCAGGCCAGGCATGTAAATTCCACTACTAAAATGAAGTTTAAAAAAAAAAAACACAAAACATTCCCTAAGCTTTAAGGATCTGGTAATGTGATAGGAAACCATTCACCCCCGGGTCGCTATTAGTGATAGAAAGTAGTTAAACAACTGACAGCTGTTTCGCCGTCTCCGTTCAGTTCCTGGGGTCCCAGTATGGATCTGCAGCGTGAAACCAAACCAGCCACCCCAGTCAGAGCCCTACTGGTGGTGCCGGAAGGGACCAGGACAGAAAAGTAAGCTGTTTGTTAAAGCCAGGGGCCTGTCATAAGTTTTCTACAGTCCTGGTCTCAGTAAGACCCTTTTTTTTATAAATTCAAGATCGTATTCAATTTGTTTTCAGATGATGTTGAGATGAATAACAGATTCCCAGTGCTGGTACATAACTTTTTCTGAATATCAGTTGCATGAGCTATCTATTGGTCAGTGTATGAGATGTCAAAGTGATCTTAGTATCCTCTAGATTGAAGTGAAATTGTCAGTCTATAATCAAGTCGGTTAAAATAGAAAAAAAAAAAAAACCTGCAGATGCAAGTATTGTACTTGCTCATTAACCTGATTCACCAATTTTGTTAAAGATTTTAAAAAAGTTTTCTTGTTTAAGCATTTTACGTGCCCTGGGTGGTGTGTGAAAGACCCACGCAACATCTCCCTGTTGATCCCTGTCCTAGAAGCTTTTGCTTAAGGTTTAGCCCAGAAAAATGAGACTTCTCATCAGCTTACAAAATTTGGGCAAGCACATCAAAAATCGCTACTCCAAAAAAAAAAAGAAAAAATGGCTAGAGCTCATTATAAAAACTCAATAGGCAATTGTAGGAGGGGGCCAAGATACATTTACAAGCCTTGCTGAAAATGCGGTCACATTTGTAACGCAAACCAGAATGTGTACCACATGTGTAATGCAAACTGGAAAAATAATCTGATATTTTCCCCACTCTACTAACCTTTTCCATTTCTACCATTCTGGCATTACTTGCGTGCAATAAAAGTTGATGAAAAATTAGTGTGAAGTGGGGTGGATGAAGGTTTCTCCAGAATTGCAAATATATCTTGTCCTTCTGAGGCATCTGTCATTAGCCCTGTGTCCTGGCAGGATCATTTCATTTCCTCTGGGTGAGCAATTGATTAGAAACAGTTGAACAGGTAATTGCCATCACACTGAACCTGGTCATCACCCAAGGGGAAAATTTGTTTCGTAGGTTTTTTTTCCAAAAAAGGCAATCAGGAGGTGAATTGGGGGGTCCCAACCACCTGACTTCATTTTGTGCTAAGAGATGTGTGTCCGTCTCAGTCATTTATTCCTATTGTGTCAGAAGATGTAGGGGATGTTACAGGAAATGCATAAATATAATTAGGGCAAAAGGATGAGAGGAAAAGAAGAGCAAAAAAAGCAATGGAAAACATTTCTCATAAAGTCAGGCCAGCACTAGGAGGCACAGAGCTCTTTAGCTGAGGACTCTGACCTAAGACAAGTAATTGGTATTGCACATGTTGCTCCCAAAGAACTTCTCCAAACTGTGTTTGGAGCAGGCCAGGTACAGCATATGGACACATCTTTATGTGAGTGTGTTCCAGATACCTTTGGGAAGTCAACATGCCCACTGAGTTCTTGCAAAGATTCAGTCACGGGTATATTTGCCTTCTGCTGCCTCGTACTACATGCAGGAGCTCAAGAGGACCTTGGATCTACTGCCTTTGCCTCTAAAACACACTGTTAACCAGCTGCCTCACAGCAAACTTGAAATTATAGTCTCATACGTTTTTCCTTCTCCTATTTGCGTGATGCAGGTTCCAGGGGAGATAGGCAAAGGGTTTGGAGAGACTAGACATGGTATATTCATGAGGATTTTCCAGGAGGCCATTACCAGAGGTTCAAACAGGGGCAACAAGGATAGCCAAATGTATGGAATGGTTTAAGTGCCTGAAATAACAGATGTCTACAAGCTTGGAGTGACATGGAGGTGGTGGATAGAGATCAGCTGTTCACTGTTTCTTCCGGTTACAAGAAATAGGAGACGTAAAACAAATCTAGTAGGAAACAGGTTAAAAAGGGACTTCTTCACCCTGCAGGTGTGAGACCTGTGGAAATCCTTGCTGAAGGATGTAAAATGTTTGTAGGGATTCCAAGAGGACTTGACAGATCCGTGGAAAGGAGACTTAACATGCTCCTGAAATGACATCCAGCCCAGGAGATTGCTGGGTTGACAGTAACTGTAGGATGGGAGAGAACTTAGTGGTAATATCATACACTTTTGCCTTGTTGTTCTTGTCACAGAATCACAGAATTATATGGGGTTGGAAGGGAACTCTGGAGATCATCTAGTCCCACCCTCAATCTGCAGAGATGGTAACAGGAGAGGACTTCCTTGGGTAGTTGTATTCTGACAGTTTCCCAGAGTAGATGGACTTTTTGTGGTTTTCTTTTTTTTTTACCAAATGCAGCAATCTCCCTACTCAGTAATCCTGTGAAGAAGGAGGTGGTTTCCCATTAGCAGTCTTCTTACTCCAGATCATCTACCTCCACCTGTACATGGCAGTTGGGCACGTTTCCTCCATTTTCTACCTCACTTTTCTTCTTCCAGAGCCTTTTCAGAAGTGTGCCTTGTCTCACCTCTGCTCTCACCTCAAATTACCAAATGCAGGCAAAGGATGGAAAAAGTCGGCCAGTTGTTCTCTAGAAGTTTTATGCTGGAGCTTTTGGAGTCTATTTAAATACTGGAATGAGATGTTAACTCCTCCAAAACTCCTCCTTTGAGGTCTGCAGTGCTGCAGAAAATTGTGATTTCTCTTGGTCAGGTGAAGGCTATGATGCATTCTTACATTAATGTGTAACAACCGCGTAAAATAATCTGGGAGTGACATTGAGGCAGATAACAAGGAAACCCAAAACAGTAAGGAAACGTTCTGTAATCCAAGATAGAACTACTGGGACATCACATCCTGAAAATTGCGTAGACCAACTGCTCATGCAGATAAGCACAGATATCGAATCTGAGAGCACTCAGCAAATTTCAAGTATTTTAATGCCCATTAATATCCCCACATACCACAGCCAAGTGCCGCTGATCCCACAATACCTTACACACATTAGCTGGCAATTGTTCCTTCTCATGGAAAAAAGACACGGGAGCGAGGCGAAAACGAGTTGCTGAGGGAGCTGAGAAGTGGAAAGGAACTCCTTCTGTGCTATTCCTCTCTGCAGACTTTTTCCAAATGTTTTAATGGGAGACCAAAAGATCTGCTTTGCTATGTGAAAAATAAAATGTTCTTTCTCTCTGCTGCTCAGCTCTCCTGCCCCTCCCATATCAAAGTAAAATTTCATACACACAATTGGCAAAAAGAATTAAAAAGAAAGCACGCCACTAGCATTAGATCAAACTTAATAGTAGTAGTAATTCAGGTGAAAACCACATTTAATGCTTCTCTGGATGGTGTCAGGGAGCTTCTAAAAGGTGAAAAGCTATGAGCTCTGTAGCATCGTGCACAAAGAATTTTAGGTATCCTCTTTTCAAATAACCAATAATTCTGTAATCAAAGCACTACCAATTCCTAAAAAGAGCACAGATCAGAGAAATCCAGAACTCCAGGATCTCTGTACCCATTCCCGTCCCAACACCACAACTCTAATTTTGTGCTTTCTCATTGCCTGATATTTATGTTCTCCTAGAGGAAAAAAAAAAACATTACTGCCAAGTTTTGATGCTTTTTCTCATCTAAGTCCAGGCATGTTAAATTTACCATTTAAAGGCTCTCTGCCCTCCTCATTATAAATGAGAAATATGAAGTGTTTCAGTTGCTCTTTCTTTCTCTTTTC